TTTATCACATATTTTATCATATTTTGTTATATTTTATCATATTTTAATATATTTTATCTATTTTATCCTAATTTTGGTTTTATTTTTGGTTTTTAGTTTTTAAGAGACTCAACCGAAACCGAATCAAAATATATTTGGTTAATATTGAAACCAAAAAAATAAAACCAAAAACCGTTGAAACCGAACCGAATTCATTTTTTCGGTTCGGTTTTCGGGTAAACAATCGGTTCGGTTGAAAAATGCCCAGCCCTAGCTTCACGTGTTTGTGTTTTCATTGGTTTTTTAAATGCATTAATGTGGAGTGCGTGTCATCATTATGATCCACGTCAGAAAGACAAACGAACAAAATAGAAAAGTCGAAACCTATATCTGTGAATTCATGTGTTTGGGTTTCTATTGGTTCTTTTTGAGTGGTTTTTCCAATGCATTGATGTGGAGTGGGCGTCGTCATTGTCATCCTCATAAAAAAGAATACCACTACAAGATTGAAGAATACTAACGTGATTGCAAGCAGAAACCTTTACCTGTGGTTTCAGTTGTTTGGATTTTTGTTGGTTCTTCAGGACTGGTGCTGCTGCCATTGCATTGATGTGGAGTCGTGCAACTAACAGTCCAAAAATGCTTTTATACCGATATTTATTGGAAGAACTCTCTAAATAAATTAGATGTTGTTGATAAGAAAAAAATAAATTAGATATTGCTGTTAAGAATGCTATATTAAAAATAAAATTGATATTTAAAAAAATTTAAAAGTATTGTTATATTAGATTATAAAAGTATTTTTATCCATAAACATATGTATTTATATCTAATCTTACTGCACTCCAAATATAAGATTAGATATTATATAATTAATACTATCTAATCCAAATTTATCCTATTGTTTCAATTTTATCTAATCATATTCTGTCCAGCATTCCAAACGCGCTGTATAGGTCCATCGGCAAGGATATCGATCCAATGATTGAATATCATTTGAATATGTCACCGGCAATGCTGCCTTTGTTAGTGTCCAGAATGTAATGCGAGCGGGTGCACATAAAACTTGCCTTTTACCTTGGACACCAACTCAAAATAGTGGAAAACATGAGTGCCCTCAAGTCTTTCCCATGAATTGGAATTTTCACCATTGTCAAAAGCAAACACCTACATCTTGGCCCCAATTGTCATTATAATATGTCGTGATTTTTTTACTTCCATTGTTTCTTTCCTCAAATATTTTTCTCTGCCTCGGATTCCTTTGTCCCTTGCCATTTACCAAAAGCATATCAAAATGTTAGTGGAATTGCCTGCCTTCCAGCAAAGCTAAGCAGGGAACAACTTATGCAAAAGACCGGAAAAACAATTCAGAAAAAGCAATTATTAGCCCATAGGAAACAGAAAATGTCAGTATGTTACTGTTTGAATGTACAATTATTATTTTTTCTTGGTACATAAGAGACGAATGTACAATTATTGAGTGGGTGAAAATGTACAATTATTCATCAGCATCAGACGCTGTGAACTAGGCGCTGAGAGTCTAGAGCTGAACACCATGTGATGTGTCCTTGGAACCTACTCTAGACATCAGGACACGACAGCTATTAATGGAGTCAGAAATTAGATGTGGGGGAGAGGTATCAATTTTTTTCTATAAAAACATTTATAGAAATATCTAAGGATGCAGAAACAGTAGTAAATTGGGAAAGGTTAACTAACCGCTAAAATAAAGGATTACGATGATATTATTTATAAATTGTAGGACCTAAAACATAAAAATAGATAGTTGAATTGGTCAAATTTTATTAATTGATTCAATAATAAAAGTTTAGGGAGGAATTTATAAGTTATTGTTAATAATTTAAATAATTTAATAATAATTTTTTATTAAAAATAAAAAATTTAAATTTTAAATTTAAATAACATAATATATATGTAAGATTATATAAGAAATAAGATAAAATTATATTTTATTATACAATTTAAAATTAAAAAATCTATAAATCATTAATTAAAAAAAGAAAGCTCGGAGCTTTTCCATGGAAAAATTCTACAATATTTCAAAGATATCAGATATTTTCGATCAATTGTAACATACCATATCATTATTTTTACAATTGAATGAGCTCGCATGACTAATGAGATGGAAAGTTTTTGATGAAATGACACATTGAGAAATATCATTTGAATATGTCACCTGCAATGCGAGCTGGTGCACATAGAACTTGCCTTTTACCTTGGACTCCAACTCAAAGGAATGGGAAACATGAGTGCCCTCAAGTCTTTCCCATGAATTGGAATTTTCACCATTGACAAAAGCAAACACATATATCTTGGCCCCAATTGTCATTATAATTTAGCATGGTGTCGTGATTTTTTTCCGTTCATTGTTTCTTTTTCCTCAGATAATTTTTCTCTGCCTCGGATTCCTTTCTCTTTTGCCATTTACCAATAGCATAGCCGCGTTTTCAAAATGTTAATTAGTGGAATTGCCTGCCTTCCAGCAAAGCTAAGCAGGGAACAAGTTTATGCAAAAATCCGGAGGCAAAATCATAAGTTAAGTCCCTAAACTAATCCTAGGATAACTATTAAGCCCTTAGATTTTAATTAATGCATATAAAGCTTTAAACTTTGTGATCAAAGCAATTAAACCCTTCTTCTTACGCCAACTTAATTGTCGTTTGGGACTCGCTTACCTAATTTAACTGCCGTTTAGGACACACTCCCTTGGCTGCTTGGATGGCAAAATATTGCCATGTCATGCTTATATGACAAGGATTTGATATTTGAGCAGGATTTTTGATTTAGTTGATTGTTTAATTTTTTTTATTTAAATAAAATCTAAATAAAATAACTCATATTTGGAGTGAAAATATTATTTAAATAAAATTTTAAATTTAAATTTAATAACTACAGTAATAAACATTAAAATGAGATATTTATTTTAAATCAAAAATTTTAATTTATTTTAAAAATTAAAATTAATATATATATTTTTTATTATATTTATTTAATAT